CGCCGCGCTCCACGAAGGACCCCGCCCGGCCAGCGCCGGGGGCGTCCACCGCACTGCCTGAGCGCCGCTCCCCCGCTCCGAGCCGGCCGGCGGGATGGGCGAGTGCGGGCGCGACACCAGACGGGCTCAGCCTGCGCCGTCACTTGGCACTTCTTCTGCGTAGTAAATGAATACATACTAGTAACTTCACTGAAATTTAATATGATAAACGTCTACATAGTAAATTAAAATGAAATTGAATATGATAAACGTCTTCTACATAGTAACTTAATATATTATGGTAAGAATGCATTCATAATCATTCTAATATAATTATTAAAAATAATAACAGTAGCATCATAATGGTGAATTAATGATAATATAAAGTGTTCAAAATGTATAATGTGTGACTTGTTTTTTATATAATAAAGTATTATAAACTTATTATATAATAATGATAACAGTAAAATAACGGCAAACTAATCATAATAAATATAAAGTGTTTAAAAAGTATCATTTGTAACGTATTTTTACAGAATACATCAATATGTCATGTAGCAAGAATACAGTAATAATATATATTATAATAGTAAAATAATGGCAAATTAATAATAATAAGTATCAAGTGTTCAACATGTATGATAATTTGTAACCTATTGTTACATAAATAACATGGAAAGTAGCAATAATAAATGAACAATAATTGTATGATTATAATGATATAATAATGATAACACTAATGGTAAATTAATAAAATATAAAGTTCAAAATGTACAGCAATTATAACTTTTTACATAATAAATAATATATAATGTAGCAATAATTCATAATAATTATATTATGTAAGAGATAACACTAAAATAGTGGTGATAACAAATATAAAGTGTTCAAAATGTACAATTTTAACTTATTTTACATAATATATAATATAGGAAATTAATAATAATGATATTATAATTATATAATAATGATAATGCTAAAATCGTACTGGTGATTATAATAAACATAAAGTACTCAAAATGTGTGATAATTTTTAACTTATTTTTACACAATAAATAATGTATAACATAGCAATAATACATTAATAATAGGTGTATGATTATATAACAATAATGCTAAAATAATGATGAATTAATAATAAAAAGAGAAAGTGTTCAAAATGTACGATACGTTTTGAAAAAGCAATTTTGAAAAAATTGAAAACATTTTGAAAAAAATTGCTTGCAAAGAACAATTTTCCCAACTACTTAGTTGGCCTAATACAAGAGACCACATGTACCCAAAGAACCTCGTCTGCTGTTAATTGTTGTGGCAGTGAATGTAGCAAGCTCCTCGGGGCAGGGCACTGTTTCTACATGTTACATTTCACGATCGGATTAGTATTACACGTTCCTGCAGTTTCTAAGTCCTAGAGGAGTTGCCGCCAAGCCCCAGTCACACCTGAGGCTCCATCTATGATTAGCATCCAGACGCGCAATGCTGTTGTGCTGTTGTTGTTGCACCAAGCCCAGGTAAAATGCAAAGTAGAAAGGCTCTTCCTGTGCAAACAGCACAGGATCGGGGGCTTCAAAATCCTCAGCACTGACTGGCTCCACGCCTACAACCAGCAGATGGGAATGGGACACGGGCCTGCTGCCCATCCCCTCCCAAACAGCTTCCCTGGTGCGTAGGATTCATGCTGCGCACTGGCTGACCTACTGTCCTGGAGATCAGGTGAGGCTTTCCCCACGAATACTGGCAGAGAAATGATTTTCAACCCCGTGACCTGACAATGAACGTCTTGCATTTGAAAGCTTGTCTAACTCTACTACACGGGTCCACTAAGAAGATACCCTGCTAAGCATCCTTGCCTTTCAGCCCCAAAGAAATGCTTGAGCCTGGTAGGGACTTTGGGGTGGGGCAAATACCTGGAACAAGTGGGGTGCAACTTGGAGCCGTTACAGTGCAGGCTGCTGCAAAAGCTGCTTCCCTTCGCAAAGAAAACAGTGACCCGCGCATATCTTCGTGCAACATGGGAAAACTCAGCAGTTTTAGGTTGCGGGGGTTGCAAAGGAAACCCTTCTTTTCAGCCTTTCCCAGCGCAGGGAGCAGTCTTGGGGAGCTCTGCAATATCTCCCCAATACGCAATAAAACAATCCTTCCTGCCAAAAGGCAGTGCTTAAAGCAGTGGTTCTCAATCAGCTTTGTTAGACTCCAGACACCCCTCAGTTCACTCCAAGCTCCCCCTTGTTAGACTCAGGGTACCCCTCCATTCACCCCACAACCCTATGTTAGACTCCAGACACCCTCCATTCACCCCAAATCCCCCTTGTTAGATCCCACACCCTGCATTCATCCCAACCCCCCTTGTTAGACTCAGGACACCCCTCCATTCCCCCCAAACCCCCTTATTAGGCCCCCC